TTTCTTTCTTTATTTATTTTTAAAAAGCCCTCGTCGAAAACGAAGGTAGAAACAAGCATACCGAAAGCCTCAATGCCACGTAGGCGAGTGCGACGACGAAACGAGCGTCAAAACCGAAACCAAACGCGTCGATCGAAACTTCCGTGCGGCGCGAAGCCCAAGGTAGCCTCAAGGGCCGGCGTGGGCACCTCGACGAGCCGACAAAACGACGGAATCGCCCTCCGCAGAACATCTGTCGTCGTCGTCTCTTCTGCGGGGCACCTGCGGCACCTGTCTGCGTGTGCGGAGCATCCCCGCCTCGTCCGATCCTCAACCTCTCCGTAGACAACAATGAGAGCACGCGAACCCGCCGGAAACGTCCCGTGACGCTCCACTGCCCAAATTACGCTCGTCCCAAAGAAGAGGCGCGAAGCCTAAAAAAAAGTGACAAAGAAAAAAGGAACAGGAGTTAGGGCGACAAAAAAACGAACAAAACTGCAGAAACGTCTTTTGGAAGCTGGCTCTTCGGGGCTGCTAGAAAGAGGAAAGGGGAGCGGGGCAGAAAGTGGACGGCCGTGGCTTCCCCTCGTTTAGGTGGTGGACGATAAGGATGACTTCGTTACGGCCGAAAAAGACGACCTTCTTTTATTTATTTATTTGTTTATCTATTTGTTTATTTACGCGCTCGCTTATTTATGGTGGATGAGGCAAGAGGGTCGACGAATCTCGTTTGGGCGTCTTCCGTTGTCCCGCTGAGGGTGCTGGACCCTCAATTATAATCGCGATACGTTTATTACTTTTTTTTTAAATATTATTATTCCTTACAGGTTTCCTTTGCCGAGTCGTAAATTGTGTTTTTTTTTTCTCTCTCCTTTTTCTTTTTTTAATGGGGGTAGGAGGTAGGGTAAAGGTTTAATGCACGAGGCAATGACCGCTTCCGTGTGGGGTTATGTTTTGAGTTGGAGTAGGAACTTATTGATGAGTAGAGTTTGCTATCCCTAGGAAAATCACGGGTTTATAGTCGGGATCTTATATTGGGTGACCGCACTGAGCTGGCAGTCACTAATTACGGAAAAGCCAGCCGCAAAACTGAAAAGTCGACTGCGTGGTAACTATAATGCAAAATGTAGACTCGTCGACACTGCTTGCGCGAACAGTCCATCGCCGGTTTTCGTCGTTTGTCTCTCAGTATTGAAGGACTGTCATCAGAACTACTATGTAGTGGTGGAATGTGCTCAGTTGGGCTATTAACCTAAGTGGTAAGCTTTGTGCCTGTCCGTATCCTTTCGATGTAAAATGCTAAAGAAAGGTCCAAGGTTCTGTTCGCGCTAACAGTGTCGCGAAGTGTACAAATGGCTTCCACTCTATTCCTCGTTTAATACATCCACATGTTATGGGATATGTATTTATTTTGGAATATCCTTATCAATCGGCCGGTACAATTACATAGCATGACGACGTGTAGCCATCGGCATTGTAAATCCTTACGAAACGTTCTTTTGTACAGCGAGGCTTTATATAACTCGTTGATCAATTTTTTTTTTTTTTTTTGTGCCCGACGACAGAAAAGTATGGACAAGATAGTCGACAGAAAACCATCGCCCGCGCTTTATCAGCATTCACGCGTGGGTTTAACACTTCTTTCAATAAGAAAATCACAAAATAAGTTTCAAAACCCCATGATGGGTGATAAGCGAGGCACGCAGCGCTCCCCACATGTGTTTCTCAGTAAAGATTGCGGTCGCATAGGCTGCCGCGACAACGGCAGAGTACGAAGTGGGGAGTGACGTCACTAGCCCCGCTAACAATGCGAAGCACGTAGCGCTCCCCGCATGCGTTTCGCGGTAAAGATTACGGTTGTATAAGCTGCCGCGGCAATGGCAGCCGTACGAAGTCTTTCATATATAAACAAAAATTTCGCTACAGTGCATTTACTTTTTTTTTTCGTCAATTACTTTGTATAAACTCTTTTGCTGTCTACAAACATGAAATGCCGCTTGCGTCCCGAGCAACTTCCGGTCGCACCGTCTTTGCAAGCCTGTTGAGCTTCCTCATACCACCAGTGCTAGAAAGCGTAAATGCTACACGGACAAGAAAGTTGGAGATTTAACGAGGGCCTTCGGCTGTACGATATTACATCTTGGAGGAGGCAAGATGGTTTACAAGAATGCTCAAAACATATTAACAGATCTCGCATTCCTTCGTTCTTTTGGCGTTCACCAGGAGAATGAGTGGCTAAACGTGTCATCTGCATTTCAAGCAGCGGTGTTAAGGTGATGTTTGTCCAATTATTTTTATAAATTGGAAGTTCTCTGGGGCGTCAAAGACTGGAGCACCACCTGGTGGCGTTTGCCATAAAAAGGGTCTTTAGTGTAGTGGGCAAATGTTGCAAGTGATACCACAGCTTCGCTGTCCAACCATACACCTTCACAGCGTAAACTAAAGCCAAAGCCTTTTTTTTTTGTAACTTGCTTAGATTTTTAGGAACATTGTCTTTTCCTGATATAATATATTTCTTTTTCTAACACACAAGTTTCTATCGACGCTGCTAAGCCCTTCCTTCTTTATAACATAAAGGCTTGTTCAGGCCCGTTTTCTCTCACCAGTTTGTCGGGCCACGAGATATAGCTAGTCCCACTCTGATTACACTATACGTTTCCTCGAAGTTAGATGACACCTGCACACTTCATTATCGGTGAGGACCACGCGTAAAGGGTTTCCTTTACGGAAGGGGGTGAGAGGGGCTCGAAATTAATTTTTCGTATATAAAAACCACGCCTAACCCGACTGGATCTGAGATAAGGGACACTGATGTGTAATGTATAGACGTCAAATGTCAGTGTCACCGTTCTATGTTTTTCCCCCTCGTGGTTGTCACTTCTGTCGACATGTTATGAGATCCTGGCATCCAGTATCGGAGCTCCCCACGGTAGCAAGCATTCTTGTAAAAGTTTCTCTTCCCCCCTCGGGTCACTTGGAGCCCTTCCGTGGTTATCATCTCAAGACCGGACGTCGTACCGTGGCCTAATGACTGGGCCATCGATGGCGCTTGCATGAAACTCCATGGAGGTCTCGGCATGATCATTTTCGCTGGTCGTTATACGTACAAACAAACGCTCGCGTGAGAAAGTGTGCCGGCTATGAGCGCACCCATCGCACAGGGGGTATTGGCGACTCCAACGAAATCAGCGCCGCGTAGCGGCACCGCCGAGAAGCTCAAGAGAGGAGGTCGTTTCGACTCTGTCGTCTGCTATCACTGCTTGGTTCTCGTAGGCAGCATAGAAACAAACATCGCATCCAGTAATTATTTTTGCGCTTTCACTGTGTCATTTCTACACACTGACTAAAAGATGGTTTCTTGAAAAATCGCTTTGCTTTCATATGTAACACCGATTTTACGCTGCAGTGCAAGCATTTTACGGTGGTCCACGTGCTGAACTACGAAAACGACCTCCTTTCGTCCGCCATTTTGCCTGACCAGCGCGCCCCCCCCCCCCCCCCCCCCCCCATAGTTCGCTGGAGTCGCGAATAACTAGGAAATTCTAGTCTTCTTAACGTAGGTTAATTTTACGTCACAGGAATTAGGAAAAGGAAGATGGCACTTCTTCGTTTTGGTGTCATGTCAGAGACCCTTTAAGTTCATGGTTGTCACCATGCCACCCGCATCGTATTTTTTTGCCATCAATACCGGTTCACACATCGAGCGCAGCGCTGAATCAACAATCTAGAAACGGCGTTGATATACAGTGCTGACTTGAACATAGCTAGCAGTGATGCAGGAGTCTATCAGCTCTGCGCATTGATATGCGCAAGGTCAGCGTGGTATAAGCGCTAAGGTCGGCAATCTTTTCAGCGCAGCCTTAATGCTGGGGTAGTGCTGCAGTGTATATGTGAACAGGTGTCTGCGTCCACGATGGCAAGCGCCTACAATGAACCTTTTCTCAGTAAGATTCTGCGCATGCGTACACTCTTTCTCTTTCCGCTCTCGCCATTTTCAGAGCGCACCGTCCAGCACGACCAACATTGTCATCAATTATCTTAATTTGCGAGTATTTCGTCTTTTTGGACGATTCTTTCTTGAACATCAATAGTTTGGTGCATAAAAAAAACATTAAAACCGATACAACGGCGCGATGCCAATGTGTCCTGACAAGCGCAGACATGTCTTTTTTTATATTCTTTATTTCTGACTTTTGAGCTTCATTAAGGGGGATAGGGAATTCGCCATGCCGTTCTCCGGCTGGGCAGAAGGGAGCATACAAGCCATGTTGGACTGCCGTTCATTTGTAGTTCGCTGTTAACTCCGCAGACGGAGCTCATTATTCGAAATAGGTCCATTGTATGCCCGCCAAAGTTACCTTCACGTACATGCTGCACTTGCTTGGATGCGTGGGTATATAAGCACGCGTTCTCATGAAGTATGATGATTCACGGTGGGTTCGCCGATCGCCGGACAACAGCATGAACATACGGAAAGCTCACGTTCGGGAGAAAGCCAAGGACTCGCCATCCTTGAGGCCAAAAAGCAAATAGAAAACTCGCGAGCTTATTTAACTAGTAAATTGAAGCTCGAGGCGCGCAAACAGTACTCACTTCCTCACCGTATTACAGCGCATCAACTATTCGTTGTCGAAAAACCATGATCACACCCTCCAAGAAAAGAACAAAGTTTAACGTGTTCTATAGCGACGAAAAGTTTGTTTTAACAGGATGCACGATAATGTATATTTAATGCTTATAAGAACATAAGCTTGCTTAATGCATTTCTTATTTTTTCCTTCATTCTTGGTTTTCATCTCGGTAAGGTGAGAGTGCAGTGTGACGCGATGTCACGGCGCCGGATGTCACGTGCTCCCCTCTGGCTGCTCTTCGAGCGCTTGCCGGAGTGGGCTGTTTATAACGAAAAATACAGCCATCAGGCTCAAAACACAAACGTACGATTGTCATCGCGCAACTGTGTTGATTCACCATTATCTCGGCCTTCAAAGATAACGCTCATGCTTTTTTTTTTTCTCCGACAGTTGCTGCGGAACCACGGAAGGCACAGTTCCAGACCTCCGGACAAATCGAAGAGCGGCCGAGACAAGGCCGAACACCCGAAACCGAACGTAAGTGACCCAGATTAACAGGTCCGGCGGAGCCAATCAAGCACTGCCAACAGTTTATCGTCACGGGCGTTCGTCGTTTTTGTGCGTTTGCAGTGCACCAGCTAAACCGCAGTCTGGCATAGAAAATACACAAAAACGACGAGCGCCATGACGATGCACTTCTGGCGCTAATTGATTAGAGAGTTTTAGTAGATCGTTTTGGCTCTCCCGCTACGCTATACGCTAGAGCGACGACGCTACTGCGCATGCGCGCTGCTAGCGGAAACATTGCGGAGCTGCGGAGGCTAGCGGAGGCGCGCTAGCGGGCCAAATAGCGAGGGGCGTAGCGCGGCGTGCTAGCGTGGCTCTCGCGAGAACGAGCCTTGGCGAGATAAGGGAGACCCAGCGAGGGACGCCGTTCAAGATGGCCGCCACGCCGCGTCTACTCGGTCTGTGCGTTTCGCGATCGTGGTTCTAAGGAGTGGATTATACCTTGCTGCTGCGAGAAGTATCCGCGACAAAGCCGTTCCACGACTGCATCAGGTAGCGATTCATGGCGGATATACTAAACGCGGCCACGGAAAGGAGAAAAAAAAAAAAAGAAAAAGCTTCGCAGTTTTTGGTGCTGTGAGCGAAAGGTGCAGCCCCCTGCTCGGCCGCTTTGTCGTGAAGACAAAACCGACTAAAGGAAGCGGAGCGAGCAGGCGGATATGAGGGATTTCTGTGGCGCTTCATTTTCGGTGAACAACGACGCAACAGATGAGCTACTGTGGTTTTCGTTTATTTTTGAAGATTTTTCTCGGTGGCTTTGGCACTTGACTCATATCGGATTGGCTTGGACAGCTTGGCCGACAGTTGTATTCAATTACAAACATAATAGTCACCTACTTACAAAAGAAGCAACGATTAGCACGTTAATCAATAAAAAAACAATATTTTATTAAGATAACGACGTTAATAAAAACAATTGCGAAGGATTGCTTTACAAATCTGTTTTACGCGAGCCCTAGTGTCCGAAAGAGCCGCTAGTGGCGTTGCGTTAGCTCTCGTAACGTTGTAATCCGTAGCGGGTTGCGAACGTTCTACTAAAACTTAAAATGGTAGTTCCGCTACGCTACATATAGCGGAGGTCGTAGCGGCTAGCGGATAGCACAGCGGGAGTGACTGAACGATCTACTAAAACACTCTATTGCCTTCGTCGGAGCGTATCGTTTGGCTCCGGTCGGACTTAACGGGGTCTTTTAGCCAAACCGTTACCGCGCTCTGCGTATACCTCACTACTGGAGCCTTTGAAGCGTCTCGTTTACGCACGCACCCGGAGAGATACCGTGACAGCGGGGCGCGCGCTTAAAAGTACCTGCTCATGCTTCAAAGACTCCGGTATATAGTGCGGTACGCCGAACACGGTAGCCGTTTACTAAAAGCTCCTAATGTAAAACGGAGCCAGTAGCGCTGATGAGTCTAATTCCTCGCGAAGCACGCCAGCAGCCAGTCACTGCAATCTGCAAAAAAAGATAAAAAAAAACGTTAAAAAAACATTTTGGCCTAACGGTTATGTCTCCTATGCGACAACGAGCATTACGTCCACAGGTGCAACGACATTCGCAGTCTGGTATCGCCGAATTCTCCAAAATCGCCTTTTCAGAGTTGTCATTCGCCCAGCTCCTTCCGTAGACCGCGGTCACCGACCGTTCCATTGTTGTTGTTTTCTGCGGGAAGTTAGACCCACCGGCATTTTTATAGTCGCTGCTTACGGGGCTTGGCATATTATGTTTGTGCTTTTTTGCTTCGTGATTTGTTCTTCCGCGATTTCATCGGCTAAACAATGCCAAAATCTCATTGGCTGCGAAGGGAACATAATAAGTCGTCAGTGATGATAGCATGCATGATGAAAAGCGTAAGGTTACCTCATAGGCATGGCAAAATCCCGACAAGATAAGTCTGGATAATGTGAAACCATGCAACAAAAAGTCAGTTTTTTTATCTTCTATTTTCCCGTTTTCTACATTAATTGGGTACCACGAATGTTAAATTAAAAGCGTAATACTAGTCATGCAAGGCTCATCGATTCTGTTTCTGAAAAAGAAAAAAAGAGAGGAAGCTTTTTCTACTGTACTTAAGAACGTGCCGTATGCCATATGCAGGGCAGCACCAAAGTCGCAACCGAATCAACCGAAGTACAATGCGACGTGGGAGGCAACCCCGAATCTGTAAGTTGTTTGCAGGATTGGTTATTGTCATTTTGCTACACATCTATGATCATAAAGATCTTTTTGCAACAAATCGTGCAAACTTATGACAGGCATAAACGTATTTCCTTCATCTTTCAATTCGGACGGTAGTTATCGACCTTGTATTACGTTTTGCAGTATGAGCTGCATCAAAACAGAACACTTTCGAACTTGTCAAACTTGTCGAGTTTTTTCTTGGCTACAGCACGCATTAATGGATGGTCAAATTTCTGTTACGCCCTCTTTGGAGAAGTGCTATTGTCTCGCGTAAAACCACATGACTACACTGAGCTGGTACCATGAGTTGGTCATGGTTTTCTCTATTCATGCTCCAAACCATAGTAGCTCGAGATATCAGACCTGCAGTGTCTCGAAAAAGTACCAAAACTAAATATTAAGCACACACACACACACAAAAAAAAAAGACAGCTTTGTTGACATGTTGAAAACTATAATGGAGTTTATTTAGGATAGATGTATTTTCCAATACCCGAGTCCCACTAGAGCGACAAACAGAAACAAACGACAGCTACAAGCCTCCAACCCATGCAGCATGCTCGCAATGGTACCTTTGGCAGGCGTTTAGTTGCTCAGTGCTCATGAAGTAAGCACGAGTGAATGCAAGCCTACCAAAGATACCCTCGCGTGCATGATGCTCGTGTTTGAGCACAGCCTCCTTTATTCTACAAAGCCCGTCGGGGGGATCGGTGGCCGAGTGGGCTAGCGCACACCAGCTCGGAGCACGTGGAGCGAAAGCTCGCGCTGCAGAACCCAGGGATCCTGGGTTCAATCCCCACCCCTGCCCGTTTCGATCTGGATGAGCATCGTACCGGCGTGCGGTCGTGTATCACTACTGCGTGATGCACGTTAAAGACCCCAGGCTAGCGGTTCTACTGCACTGGCTAAATTGCTCATCTACAGCTGGGAGACTCGTCGCCCGTTGAGGCAGACCAAGTTCTAGGCTGTATAAACACACACACAACCCAATTTTTTTTTTCAAAGCCCGTCAAATCGCGAAAGACTCTAGTTCGAGTCATGTCACTTTCGTTTGTTTCTGTTTGTTGCTCTAGTTGAACTCGGGCATAAAGGATCAAAAGTTTTTATTTTTGTTTTGTTTTAGAGTTTTCGCCTATTCAAGGTTCTGGAGCAACATCCCCATCAGATTACTTTGAACTAGTTCGTCTATCAACGCCGCTTATCTTTATTTATTTTTTTGCCAGCTTACCCAATTTTTTTTTTATTTTCTCCTCTCTTTGCCTGCCAAAGGGTTCACAAGGCAAGTAGAGCCGAAATTTCTTTTTGTCATTTAGGATCCCCAGCAGAACAGGGGTAGGTGAAGGGCGCCTACCCCTGTATAACGATGGTATATTAATTAAAGTTGTTGTTTTTCTTGTACTTGTATTACTGTTTATACAGTGACAAGAAGGCCTCTCTTGGCCCTGTATTCAAGCGCAATGTACTTCATTTCGCCGAAACTTGTTTTGTAGAAAGATTTTAATTTGTAATCAAGATTTCTTTTTTTCTGCTTTTTATTTCTCTCCCTCCTACCCTGAATTTCCCCTCCTATGCCTTGTTTGTTCGCGTTTAACAAAATTCCCACTGCCCCCTCTCCCTTTTTTTTTTTTTTTGACACCTGCCAGCATTTGAGTAATTACCTAATTGCCGGCCAACCAGCAGGGACATCTTTCTAAGGGTCATGGCTTACCAAGTTTAACGTGTGCCGAACTGCGGCAATGAAATGCGTCAATAGTTGCCATCAGTAAAGCATCACTTACGTTGCTGTGATCGCCGCAAGGAAGCAGTCGCTTTTTGAAGACAAAAAAAAAAAAAATGCTACAAGTAAGTTAGAAAGGTAACCTTCACATGGACGTCACATATAGAACGTCAACGTGCTCACTTTTCTTTTCTATTTGGTAGCTACGCCGCGGGAGTAAATGTTTCAATGGCAGCTAATAAAATCGAACATTCGTTTTGTGTCGCTTTTGGATACATGGTTTTGCGGAAAAAACACGGACACAAGAGGAGAGAAACAAACACGAGCGCAACTTACAACCTGTATTGAGGAAACCTTTAGAAAACATACAGATATATTGCCAACTTCAATGCGTCCACGCATGCGTCACTATCACACGCTCGTCACAGAAACTTATCAAGGAAGCGTTTTTCAGCATTATACAAACTTATCGAGGTATCGCTCACACATAGGTCGCCTTTCTTTTTGATAAAAAAGGCTTCCAGCATTATACAAACTTATCGATACCTCGATAAGTTTGTATAAAGCTGAAAAACGCTTCCTTGATAAGTTTCTGTGACGAGCGTGTGATAGTGACACGACGCATGCGTGGACGCATTGAAGTTGACGATATCTGTATGTTTTCAATCAATCAATCAATCAATCAATTTTAATTACATCATTATCAAATAGTGATGTGGGCTGCAGAGGCAAAAAGTCAAAACAGTTTTGACTTGACAAGGCCTCTGCAGCCAAGGTTTCCTCAATACAGTTGTAAGTTGCGCTCGTGTTTGTTTCTCCCTCTTGTGTCCGTCTTTTTTGCGTAAAACCATGTATCCAAACGTTCACCAACTCGCCCAACAACAGACTATTTTACATGTTTTTTTTCTGTGTCGCAATCGAAGCCAATATCTTCTAAAAAATTCGATATATCGGTTTCCAGAGTCCCCTAATTGAGCACGAGTCCAGGACCAGCCCGAACGGCCAGGGTGCTGAGGCCGATGAAACCAGGCGCGTGCTAGAAGAAAACGTACGCATCTTGGTTGTCTTTTTTTCTTTCAAAATCATTTTGCGAAAACTAGTTTAGCTCTGAGCGCATTGCAGCAACATAGCTAGGACACTACGTAAATATTACTTTTCCAGAACTCGCTATAGGTCCGGATTACAATTTTTTTTTCGTCTTTTCCTTTAGCTGCTCTTGCAACAGGAACTGAAAGAAAAATGTGATCTTCTTTCGAAGCTGGAGGTAAGTGACTGCTTCTAAAGTTCCCCGTCTTATCTCCGTCGTATTTCACTTGGTCCGATATAAACAACACATTTCGACGCTACCTAGAAATTACCGTACGGTACAAGCAGACATAGTTAAATACGACCCCCATAGATATTCATGGGCAAAGGTTTAAAACGTGCTCGCCTGCCACGCGAAAAAACAACAACAAAAAAGTAGAGCTAAACCTTTGGTAATGCGATTCAAGCGATCTCGTAACGCAGCCTTCGGAAAAGAGTTTCATAAACAACATAGAGCGGTGACCTGGGGGCGGCGGATAAAATCTCGCGATAAATTTCTAAATCCTGTGTGGCGACGAATGTATCACCGCACCTCATCTGTTTATCTCCAGGAAGAACTCGATCAACGAGACGATGCAGCCGGCTTAGAGGGATTAGACCGGATTACCTCCTTGCCTGTCAGCCGACGCACGCAGGTACGTTCTTTTTATATTATAAAGTGCAAGCACTCTGCATTTAGATGTCCATGAATGAGGCACACTTTCAGCCCCAAACGGAGACCCCGATTACAAACCGGCCATCTTTTGTCTTTGCTCTATCTACAACGGCCTTGTCTGCAAGTGAGCGGTTAATGTCGTGTTGGTGGTACGTGACAAAGCTTATTTTGAAAAGGATATGAGACCCGAAATGGGTGGTTCGACCTAGTTTGCCTGCGAAGCTGCACTTCCTCCTGGGTGTTTGTTGTGCACTCGCTGCTATTGTTTCTCCTTTTTCAACCTGGTAGAGCGGCTCGAGACATGTCGTTTTTATTGTGATTATAGCACGAATTGTCAGAACTAAAGCGCTGCATGTGGCGTACATATTCCAAAGATGCATAATCCTTTTTTTTTTATTGCGATACGGGTGGGGAGTACTAATGTTTGGGGGTTGTCTGCGATCAGCTTACCCACCGAATAAAGAGAGATTTAAAAATGCCACCCGCGTAAAACCCGCTTCTTTTCATTTTTACCGCGATATCTTTGGGCAGATGTCGGAGCGTTGGGGGGGGGGGGGGGGGGAGGGGGGAGGGGGAGGGGGGGGAGGGAGGGAGGAGGTTTGGGATGATTGGGGTGCCAAAAATTCGTACTTCCTGTGCGTGTTAGAAATGCATTCATGCTCTGCCCCATAGTGTGCGTGCATGAGTTATTTCATGTTTATATTGCGTAACACGGAATCTGTAGCCTTCAAGGGATTGCGACGACGAAACATACGTATATGCATGCGCCCAGTTACCCAACAACAGCTTGCGCATTAACATATTAATCCTACTCGTTATTTTTTTTATCTTAATTTATAGGCCCCGAATTTCGAGAAGCATACTTTATTAGAGGCTGATTCATTGCTTACAGCTTCCTCTTGTTAGTTTCTAAATTCAATCGCTAGTAGAGTGCGTCCAAAAAAAGATTAGTAAACACTTACGCTACTCGTAAGGTGAAGCACTGCGACAGCTTAGATGCGACGTCGGAGCCGCCAAGGTGCCATTTTGGAGCAGATGGACTGGAGGAACGGTAAAGGTGCGAGCGCGCACCATAGGGTCCGCATAGGCCATTTCGTAATAAACTGAGTAACACACCGGACGAAAATTCTGGAACCAGTGAGGGTTATTAAGTAGAGAGCATTTTGCGAACGTGTTAAACAACTTTATTGGACACAAGCCTCGTGGTAATTGAAGAACACTTCGAAAATCGCGCGCCCAAGTCTGAAATCTAAGGAGCGACGAAACTCCACCTGTACGCATGAGTCGTTCCCCGTCGTTGGTGTGGCTGCCTGAACGTCTTAGGCAATGTTATGGACACTAACTGACGCCGCCTTTTGGTCGCTGAAGAACACTTCCTAAATCGCGCACTCAAGTTTCAAGCGTGTAGCTCCACCTAGCTTTACGCCCGTGGTTTCGCCGGCTTAACACCCACCTAACTTTATTCAATTCAGTAACCAATTAACTAGAGAAATTATTGAAGCCGAACATATTGTCAGGAATTATAAGAACTCTATCAGTAGACCATCTTTGAACCTGACAGAAAAAGAAAAAAACATTTCTTGGCTTTAGGAAATTGGTACGCGTGATTCGGGAAATTCGGTAGTTCCAGACGGTGAAGAAAACACAGTATATAAAAACGAGTTGTCAGTCAGCACGGTTGTTTGAATTTTTCCACTCTTTTTCGTGCGTAAGGAAGGAGTGTACGGTGCGAGTGTACTTTTGCAGTAGTGCGCTTTTGTGCGTGGAAATAGCTTTATTCGTTTTATTGCCCGAGAACCTTTCTGGCATAATTAGCGATAACGCTTATTCTTTTCATTATCAGTAGTCTCATGTTTATGTTTCTACGTACCGTCATGATGTCACGTGACGTCACGACATTACGTGATTCGCGGTGTCACCTGACGTCATTAAGTCGGGCGGCGTCACTGCGAAACGTAAACTTGACATCACAATGTCACATCAGGGTGTCAGCTGACGCCAGGTAACAGCCAGCTGACGTGTTGCGCGGCGTGACGTCACAGTCGTTTCGAGTGGCGTGACGTCAGCGGTGTGACGTCAGTGTGGAATCTTTTGGCGGGGCGCCGAAAATAGCCCCCGTCGATGTGGAGCGCGGTCAACGGCGCGAAACCTGCGAAGTGTCCTGCTACGGTTCGGTTGATCGCTCTGTTGCAAGCCCAATTTAATTCTACATGATCGTGCCTCAAAGCATGCCTTTGGAGTGGCGGATACCAATACGATTAGGGCAAAAACGACCTGCCTAATATTCAGTCGATATAACCCGAAGACCAAACGAGAGCTAGCGATCGCGAACAGATGAACTTCGCAAACTCCGGTAAAAACGACCTTGCCGTCAAATGACCAGAAACTTGCTCACAAAGGGCACTGTCAGGACGGAGCTCTCCGAGCCAAATAAGCTCTCAAAAAGAGACTATGCACGAGAAATAAAAGAAACGCAGCCATAACGACGCCAGTCACATTCCATATAGCCTATACGCTCGCCCGGTGGCCGTCGGAAACGTGCCTGCAACCGCAACGTGACGACTGAATAAAGTTAGGGGGGTAATGATGGTCGAGGGAAGGGCCCGTCGAGTCTGTCGCGCTGCTGATCCCTTCACCCTTCAGCTGACAGTGTGGCTGAAGCCACGCGTTCGCCGGACGAATCAACCGCCTTCCTTTCCGTCACCTGACCCCGCTCTCTGCCCGTGCAGCTTTGCCAGGAGCGTGACCACGTGGCGAAAGACAGGCGTATCACTGGTCCGACGTGCACTTTGCTTTCACCGTACTATCAGCCTAGGGCTGAAAGGGATATAGCCGCAAAACCAGGAGGACGAGGCAGGGTCGAGAGAATATTTATGGTGGTCATCCTGACCTTATTTGCGAGTGTCTTTCTTCATTTTTTTCCTCCTCGATCGCCGCTGCTTCCTTGTCCGGCGCAGCAGCAACGCGAGGAGCTGCGCGTGACCAAGGAAGCCCTGAGCAGCCTGCGCCAGTGTTTCCGCCTGGACGACCCGTACCAGCACACGCTGGACACCATCGAGCAGTCCCTGTGCACGCTCCTCGAGCGCGTCACCAGCATGGAGAGGCAGGCCGCGGGGGTACGTCCCCCTTTTGGTCTGTCCGTGGCGAGCCCGCACAGCTTGGAGGAATGCATTTGCGTTTGAGTATGGTAGACTGCGATGCAACCGTTCGTAACCGCCGCGTACCACGAGAGAACACACTGGCGACATCTATCGTGTAGCCCTGGAACATTTGCGATCTGCGCCTACCGTGTGCTTGAACCGATTCTGACGGTGTTGTAAGCGACCAGATATATGACGCCAGTGAGATAGTGTCTTCTCTCGTCGTAAGCGCGATCGCAAGCGGTTGAAGTCAATCACGCTGGAATGCAAATGAGTTAACCGGCCTTAAAAGGTGGCAAGTGTACCATATGCGGCTCCGTCAGCGGCCGAAAAGGTGTGACATTGTGTCTCGTGCTTGAGCATGATTGGCTGAAATGCCCGGAGACTGAACTAACGCAACGCATTATAGGAAGCCCATTGGATCATCCTGATAAAAGAAAAAAAAAAAAAAACTGTGCTCCTTGAAAGCCAAAATATGCGCAATAAAATTCCTTTCCTTCTGCTCCAAGTTCGGGATCGGCTTGCTAACTCCGGTCGATTTTCTACTCTTCGGTTCAGTTTCGACCGTCCTCTTGTTAAGCTCATGTCAATTGAGGTAACGTTACTGAAGTCTAATTATCTTATTTTAACGCATAGCGTGATGGAGCTTGTGTCGCAGAAAAGCAGGCGCCGGTGGCCTGACGGGAAAATCCTGATTGGTCGATACGGTCATGACGTCACAGCCACATGACCTCGCAAGAGAATTTCAAACCCACAACGCTCACGTGAAACGTGACGGCACGCCCAGGAATGAAAGTGGTTAAAAAAAAGCATGAGACGTAATGCGAAGTAAAGGTTTAACTTTGCAAAGGGAAGGAGCTTGAAGCAGAAGGAAAGGGTACTGAGGGGAGGGTATACCCCTCCTCCCTCCTCCTCCCCTCCTCCTTCAAGCTCCTCGCCTCTCCCCCTTCTCTCTCCTCCTCCTTCTCCTCCCCCTCCTCTTCGTCCTCCTCGACCTCGTCCCTCGCGCGCAGCTTTATTGCGCGCTCAAAATGGGAGGGAACGCGTGCCTGTACCTTGCGCTGCATTACCAAGAAACGTTGTCGCGGAGTATAGCGGGGAGGAAAATGAGCCAGCATTTTATAGTGCGTATGCGAGTGCACTTCTGTCTCTAACCGAGGCGCACAAGAGTGTTCATCAGTGGACGCCTCGCCAAACGTCACAGTCGCGATCCTGTGCCTTTTCTGCAGGGACCTGCCGGAAGGGACGGAGGACGAAGATTGAACTTCGATTCAACGGGCGACCCCCGACGGCTACCAATTACAACGTTAGAAGGTTCTTAGAAATCTATGCATGTCTTTTGCCCGCATGACTGTCTTTGTGCGCGAAGAACAAACTATAGCATGTATGTACCTACTATACTCCGCTCACCGATAAGCTGAAAAGGCGGTAGAAACTAATGTGATCGCTGGACCAATCAATCGCTCGCCAAATATCCACTAAACCCGTTCTCTGCGAGCAAGTTTCTGAAAGGAGCGTTATCACGTGGTGTGCGAAGTACGATTAACTGGTCTAACGAGCAGTTACCTTCCACCTTCCTATCAGTTTAGCGGTAAACAGGGTGTAGGGTCCACTTCAGTCGGAGCAAGACTTGTGCACTTAATCTAAACTTAGTTTCCTTCTCGTATTTGCTCTTCAAAGGCCGCTTGCGTGAAGCTCGCGCTCTGAAATTTTTGTTTCAGAGTTTACACCCGGGATTTACGTTCGCACTTTACGGAAACAGAAGGAAGTCCGCAATAGCTCAAAAGAAGATAGAACCCCCCCCCCCCCCCCCCCCAAAAAAAAAAAAAAAAAAAACGCTATACGCTTTAATAGTGGGCCACCCAATTTTCGCTTTAAAGTATTTACTGTCTCCGATGTTCCCTCAATCATCACCCAACCGTCCATCGCATTTGTTAATGACAAGGTTGTCCGGGCTTTGTCAGCTCAGGCTCAGGCGCCTTAAGCCGGGGTAACAGTGCTTATCCATCATACAAAAGACACTATGCATACAGATTTGAACGCGAGTCATCGCGATATCCGTGCTTCGAATGCCGGGTGGCAATGAGTTCAAGGAGAAAACTTGGCGCGCGGCATTCGAACCACGGATATTGCGGTGACTCGTGTTTGCAAACTGCCTTTTGTAGGGTGTATAAGCACCGTGACCCCGGCTTTACAGAATCACGTCATAGGTTTTTTAGCTATTGCGGAATGTAAAGTTAGCTAAGCATGGGCGATATAAAGTTGGTTAGGAACAGTTACTCATCCCCGCTAAATCTTTTCAGAGGAAGACCATACCATTATAGTCGAGACTATACAATTAAGTGCCGGTGGTCACTGCTTTGGCTAGTGACCACGAGAAATGACCTCTATCTATCTCTCTCTCTCTCCTGCGTACGTTTTGAAGCAACATCTCAAAAGTAAGGTTTTATGTAGGGAGACTTAGAGAGCGTGAAATTAGTCTGTCTTAGAATGACGTCCTGTGTGCCTGTTCTATAGATGAGCAATAAAACTGTTGCTCTGATTTGCAGAAATTTTTTTTTACATTTAGAGGTTCTTTAAAATTGTTGTAACATGCAACGCTCGTGTTTTCTTGCTCGGCCAAAGAAAATGTTTAATAGCGAACAGGAATCAAATCGTTTTACGCGCCGTGAAGCCTGCGTCAAAACACGAGTCCGAGCCTACGTTATTCCCGAGCCACAGGCTTTTGGTCTCCGCGTACCCTCGATTATTTCGAGCAATTGATTTTGATCTTTGATTTTTTAACCGAAACTTGGAATCATCGTAAAGGAAATAGCTTTATGGTACACAATCATATTTGAACACATCCTTCGTTTTATAGGGAAAAGAAAGAAAAAACGATTATTCTTTTGGCTCAGTGATTTAAGCGAGAAGTGAACTGTATAAGTTAGACCACGAAGCCGCTGCTCCTCCAAAATTAAACTTAGTAATAAAGATTTCCTTCGTCTAAATAAAAAAAAAATTAAAAAACGAAGCACTAACTCTAAAACAATAAACATTTTTTACTTAATATATATATATATATATATATGTGTGTGTGTGTGTGTGTGTGTGTGTGTGTGTGTGTGTGTGTGTGTGTGTGTGTGTGTGTGTGTGTTAAGATTAATTGATTTTCAGATGTGTTCAAACTCGTCACACTGTACGTAGCTGAGTGAAGAGTTCGTTTCTTTGGCAAGATGAGCTAATTTCGCGCTTTAATTATGGATCTACGAGGTAACTACTCTTCAACAGCAGCTTCTTTTCGAACGACGACCGCGTCATTTGTGCCTACCTGTGGTCCCCTACAGCTGTAGAAACGCAGGGCTTAAGGGCTATTAAACATACTCTACAACCAATCATATTACGGTATTCCCCGGTATGAACGCCGATGAACGATTTACGAAGCAAGAAGCCTAAGGGCGGGAAGCCACGCCCTTCCTTTATTAATCTTTCAGCGAGAGACTCGTACATATATCGTCGGGGCGTTTTGGAGAAGCACAATGCTCTCAGCCGGAGACAGAATGATAAAGGGTTTTTATTTCAGCGGAAATCTATAGGAATGGGCGCTGGTGTTCATCCGCACCAGCTCGTGTTGTCTGACGCAGGACGTCGCTCAGGGCAATGCGTAAAGTGAAGCACCGTGAGTGACCCCGTTCCCCTTTTGTCTTTGGCCGGAGCAGAGTTCCCCGTGCAGCGGCTGGATCCACTGCAGTCTCTTGGCCGGGCACAGGCGTCCACCAAAGTCATCTACTACACCGAGAAGTCGGTCACTCCCTTCTTGTCAGTCATCCCCAGAAGGTGGGTTCACTTCCACCGACCCGTCCCGCCGGTTGTTGATCACCACCAAGGGGTCGTCACAAAGCGAGCGACATCCGTACACCGCCACGAAACAATATGAGCCGCAGCACCCATCCCGGGTGCTGCAGCTCCGATTGTTCTCCTCACAACTTTCTGTTATCCCTCGATTTGATGATAGACTCGTATCTTCGTATCCTAAACTTCGCATTCCATCAAGTTGTTTGTATACCAAAGGTGCTTTTAGAAATTGCCAAGGTATACGCCAACAAACAACGAATGACTGTTGCAGTTTATATTGTTTCCGATAGTACAGAGCGCGAACAAGTAGGGCTGGGCGTCCATTAAAAGTTTTAACCCGATGAATCGCCTCTTTTAATCGCTTAATGAATTGATTGATTGGTCTCGTTCATTTTCATGCTTAATATTTTACAAATTCATAATTATTATTACTATTTTCTTTTTGCTTCTGCTGAACATGTAAAAACGGCGCAATATGCAATTTTCATTATGAGTCAACCTCTATTTGAGAACAGTTCAAAGACACTGACAATTATTCCTTCACCGGCATGAGGCAAAGAAGCTTCGTTGAAGTTCTTCGGGAAGAGCGACCTTGTTCACATTAAAGTCTTTCTGATGCACTAAACGGACACTCGAACGGCGTTCAATTGGCCGGGACACGTGTAACACTCGTGCGATTGTCCGGATATACAAATCTCTCCCCTACAGTTTATACTTTAGGCAAAAATGGTACCCAAAGTTCGCCCTTCCTATACCGCTGTACTCGTCCACGCCTGCATGCGTCGTAAAGCGTTTCATTTTTACTCTATTTTGGTTCCTCGAAAGTTTACCGAGTGACCGGCTAAAAAAAAATATATATATAATAATCGATACGTTAATCGCTTAATTGCCCAGCGCTACAGTAACAAGTGCTTGTTTTTTTTTTTTCATTTTTGAATTAAAGGGCTGTCACGAAATTTTATTAGAGTTACTAGCAGCTTGAAAATCACATGGCGTAAGAAGTCCCCAGTATATCGTATTGTCGCTCCACAGCCCACCAGGTATCATGCATGAGCCAGTAATACCACCGAGGCACCGAGCAATCGCGAAACGAGAAGCGTGAACGTAATAAACCACGTGTTTTTCAAGTTTCTCAAGCTGACAAGCGTAGTGGGAAGTAGCCACTCATTTGGGACACTAACTTGGGGCTGCATTAGTCGGGCACTCGGCGAGAAGGTCGACGAGATCGCCGACCGCCACGACTGGCCAGCAGCAAGGTCAAGCACGAAGCTGTAGGCAATCACGGCAGTCGACGATCTCGCAGACTCCTTTTCCCGAATGTCCGACCTTCTGAGCGCTAAAAGTTCACTGCCCACCAAAACAAAGTTTTAGGTGAAGTTAGTAAAAATCCCGAGGAATTTTATTCGCGCTAATGGTGTCGCGCAGTGTATACTTTGGTTAGGTTGAATATTATAGACTAGCTATATAGCCTATATATATATATATAGGAAGTATTCACTGGCGGCCATAGCTGTGTGCGCGGCTGCTGAGCGCGTGCTGACGACGAGCTTCCACAGTTCTTTTTCAGCGTGCATTCCACACCATCAAGCTTGCCGTTCTTAGCAGCCTATTAATGTGACCTCGCTCTGAGCATGCGCTTTAAAGAGCACCCACAAATATGGCGTCCAGTGAATACTCCCTATAGTGCTGCGCATTCGAGGCGCAGGTGGTCCGAAGAAATGTTGTTACACAAAATACCTTGCACGAGCCAGCGCGCGTGGAAAGCTCCGCCGTGCGTTCGTGCCGGTGACACACACAGAGAGCCACAAAAAGATGGAATATTTGGGATTGCAAGCGGAGGCGTATACTGGTAACGGTCACCAGTGTCTCATCGCGAGCGGATAGCCCTGGGTTGTCCTTTCGCTCCCGAGGAGCGATCAAACAGAAGGAGCTGGCACTCGCATAGCCTTCGCCGTTAGCTCGTGTTCAGGTGAAACGAGATATAGTGGCCTTTTTATAACATTGTAACTTTTTATAACGTAGCTAATTGTATTTTTTTAACAATTAACCGCATGATGAGTCCGCATCAGTCGACACTGCCGGAACAACCGACCGGCATAAAACTTCAACTATAAAAATTTCGACTGCTGTTCTTAAAACAGATGTGCGATTGTTAGACCCGCTTCAAAATCCAATCGCGTGCATGGAGAGCTCTTCTTGGAAAAGGTGCATTCAAACTATGAATGATGCGTCCTTTATTAATACAAAAAATCAAGCTGAATCTTATTAAAGGTTGAAATTAATATCATTGTTTGTGTCTCGTTTTCTTTTTCTGGCAGACTCGGCGACATAACACTTCGAGACTTCAAAGTAGCGTTTGACCGGCCAGGGCTCTACAGGTTCCACTTCAAGACGCTAGATCCGGAGTTTGGAATGGTCAAAGAGGAGGTGAGGGAACCTTAAAATGTGAGGCCTTAGAACTCGGCTGCTATTTTCTCCGAATATGGCGAGTATGAATATATGTATCTTTTTTCACTCCTAGGTTCTACATGACGATGACATCATCCCTGGCTGGGATGGAAAGATCGTTGCTTGGATCGAAGAAGACATTTGACACTGGCCAGCAGATACCTCCCCGCTTCATCCTTGGTTTCATCTGTACATAACATTCGTCTTTGTGTGGAACGGTCCATCAGGAGCATCGTTCCCTTACTACTGCCGAGTATCATGCCTAATATAGACGGAACCAGTAGTCGCTAATGTATGTATGTTCGCTTACAAAAAAAGTGTATTTTTTTATATTAATGGCGTGATTTTTTTTTAATTTTTAATGAATGGGTACATCCCGAACGGGTACAAGAAAGGCACACTCAAAACACCTTCAAAGTATAATTATGTAAATTTAGGCGATTTCCGCATATAACTAATTAGTATAGCATTTAAAAAAAAATGAACTCGTCATCTAGCTTTGAGATTCAAACCCCCAGGGTACCGTATTTTCCAGACTAAAGTACGCAGACTGTACATGTTTAAAAGCTGAAATTCTACCCGGTGCGGGCTATACAAGGATTTGTTTTTTTTTCTATAGATCGTTCACTGTGACAAGGCGCGAAGGATTTTATGAATAACAGAGTATATTAATGGTGATTTATGTACGATACAAGCTTTTGCGTAAGCTAATGCATCAGGAATTCTTCAAGGTGCGCTCTATATGATAATGTTTACGTTCGGATTAGGCGCTAAGTGCGGACTATGCACCGTGTCTGGACTCTGTGGAGTATCTAAGCAGTCTTCTTTTTACCCTGAATTTTCTCCCTGCGGATTACACACCCGGAGCGCACTATAGTCCGGAAAATACGGTAGCTTAATTTTTGGCGTGGAAAATAGAAACCACAAGAACCTCAATAATCTTTTTTTTTCCTTTTTGTTTGACTTTTAATATGGTTCGCCCGTCAACGGATAAATTAAAGTCAAATATTAAGTCTGAGCTGTGAACTCGGGTTTACAAACTACGAAGTTACCAATGCTTGAGCTTTGAGTGGTGTGTTCGCAAATAGTCTAATTATATCGTCTTTCTTAATATTTACCGTAATAATGTTTTACTTGAGAATTGTATATAGTTGACTAAAAGTCATAAACAGGGCATCTTTTTCGGCCACAAAATTAGCGAGCGCCTTTGGTGTCATTTCGTCCTCGCTGAGTCTCGCATGTAGCCCAAGCACCATTGGAAAAGAGGCTGTCAGAGCTCGTGCCTTCCGAAAGTGCAACGCAACTTTTATCAGTGACTGCGGGCAGCTGTGTTTTTAAACGTTTGGTCGCAGCTTTTGTGATTTGTAACTTATGCGCAAGTGCAATCCAGACAAGGTGATAACCATGCATATACAACGTTGGAAACGACACGTGTACCTTGGAAAGTTAATAAATTCAAAAGTAGAGGCAGCTTTTTTATTGATGTAATTGAAGATATGTATTTGATCATGTTAAATGTTATTTTCACTTTTACTTTAGAGATAGATATTGGTAAATAACTAATGGAATTCTTGGCAAAAACCTTTCGGTTAAAGCCCTCGATCAAAATGAATTGAAAAGAGGCATTATGCAAAACCGGAAAGTTAATCAGATAAAAGAAAAGTTTAGATCTGTAGAGACAGCGATCACTTTACCTCACTTTTGTGTTTCTGAATTTTTAGATTTAGAAACGGATGCCTTCCTAATATACTAATTTTCAAACAGTCTAGAACGACTGTACCAATGCAAATTGTCTAATTAACCCAGCGAGTGTATGATGACAATAAAACTGTTACTTTCAGACTGGTCCCGTATATTCTACAACTTAAATTTAGAGTACACTAAAAGTCTATATCACAAATAATAATTCAAGAAGCGATCATGAGACAAAACAGTTTAAGTTGCGCCAACCGAAAAAGAAAGGTGTAAAGTTATATATACATTACAATAATAATTTTCAAAGAACAGGCAAGTGATATTACTTCTGTGTGTGTGTGAGTTCGCTTTCGTTTGAACAATTTACACGCTTGTCAGTGATATTTCGAAAACAGTTCCAGTTTCCTAATATTGGCATTCAACAAGCTCGGATGCAGTTTCTTTGAGATATCTGTTCTACAACAAGAAATAGAGAGGAAAAAAAAAAAAAAAAACTTCCAGCTTTTCCACTGTGGTGAAGAAAGAATACCAGCGAAGCTGTACTATGGTGGGAATGAAGTAATGGCCAGTCGAAAGTCGGCAAGCCGGTGTGGAAAGGCTCGAAAGGTTGCCGCCATCTATGAGCGACAGCGGCAACCAGACAACCGGCAAGCCGGTTGTCTGGTTTTTGTCGTCGCTCATAGATGGCGGTAGCTGTCCAGAGTTCTGTGTCATCAGGTCATTTCAGGACGGACATGATCCTGGGGAAACTAGCCCTTAACAGCTCCGCTGTAAAAATTTTGTAGGCGAAAAACAAAAATGTACTGCGATTATTCAAGGATCCTTCTCGGCCAGGTAAGCAGCTTCTCGACAATCCAAGCCTAGGCCTCTAAAGTACTTATTGGTACCTCCGAAAGATTGTAATAAAAAATTCTACAAAACTTCGGAAAGAAAAAAGATTTGCGCGAAAATATCCCGGCCTTTCGGAATGTTTTAGCTAGAATACCTCCTTCTAGCCCTGAAAGACTGCTCTTCCAGCAGGATCTGAAAAGCTGCCACGCTGCTTTCATGGAGTTGATGCGCTATCATATGAAATAGTCCAACGTCATAAAGTTTCCTTCGAGGAAAGCCAGTTTTTGTGTGAATTTTTTACATTCGTCGTGCTAATTGTAATGTATGGCGTGCAATTAGACTTCAGTTAGACACGGTGGGCTTTGTGCTCCTCAACCGCATGTACTCTCAGCACGGGCAGAACCAATCTGAACGCGGGTGCATTGTCCCGTCACCTGCAAGCGTAAGCAGATCCTTCACACTGATCTCCCCCAAGAATCCAACGCTTCAGAGTGTTTCGTAACTCAGTATACGTTCGCGGATATTTCAGCCTTTGGTGTGTATGAAACTACGAAATCTTGTTGGACGCGATGTGGTAAGATATGATTGTGAGTATGCTTGAAGACAGAGCATGAAGAACCGCCTGTCTTTTGAGGTGAGTTGTCGTACAAAGTGTCAGTATTTGATGAGTGTGTAGACGGATATTGAAAAACTAAGGGCGCACTATAAAAGTTTCTGGGTACGGTCATTTTGTTTTTATGATAACGCAAGTTTACGCGTTTTAATCGCGAAACACAGATAAGGTGTGCCGCGAATTTGGATAATATTTGTATGGGGAAATAGCCAGAGCTCGATGGTATTTCTGGGTTCCTCGGGACGTTAGAGAGCGCCAAACCTATTGTCACAACAAAAATGAAAGACGTTTACAACTCCCTGTAATGCTGAATTAGAGCGCAGTTCCTAAGGAGGAGGAGGAAAAGGTACTGAAGGAGGGTATGCCCCTCCTCCTCATCCGTACCCTCTCCTTCTCCTGCTCTCTTACTCCCGTGATCCTCCCCTCCTCATTTCCTCCTCCTCCTGCTCCTCTCTTGAGGTTTTTCGATTTTGCGATAATATACCGTGCTCAAAAATCCGAGAAAGATTATATATATATATATATATATATATTGTTGTATTCTCGCTCACCGCTTCTCAGGACAAAGGAAATATAGTTCTTACATCTGGAAGTTCCACTCCGTCTAAGTTCTGCTGGTGCCAGAAAACAGGACAGCAGGATCAAGGGGGAAGAACGAGACAGCGTTAGAGTCAACACTTTGACGAAGTACGTGATACTCTCGATGTCATCCAACTTCCTGTCAGCTTTGTTGAAGACTGCTTTTTCGTTTTCGATTTCCTCCGCATTAGTCTTGAGCGTGCTCCCCCTAGATGGCGCAGCAGAGCAGCGAGTGCACGTCCCTCGGGGCCAATGGGATGTTTTCCTGACTGACTGGTATGAGGTTCTTTGTCTTGCACAAAATATTTGGTGAGTGTTGTAGGCGAGAGATACAGAGCTACCACGAGCAATCCATTGTCGACCTTGGCGGCACACAATTTACCAACTTCGTCTGACGTGCCACAGAGATCGATGGGTACAGCACAGACCCGCACCCATGTAGACGGCCACTTGGATAACGAATACTCATGCGTGCCTCTCTGCGATTTATGAATGGTGATATCCCTTGCACAACGGGTAGCTGGCATCTCTCTTCCTCATTTCCTTCCTCCTCCCCTCCTACCTCCTCCCCTCCTTTCCTCCTCCTCCCCCTCCTTCTCCCTCCTCATCTCGTCACTCTTGACCCTAGTCGAAACGTTACTCTTGACCCTCGTGACGTCATGATGGGAACGTCCCATCATGCAACGCGCGGGTCACATGTGACGTCATGTGGGACGTCATTATGGAAAACGCCCCATCATGCAACGCGCGGTTACGTCGATGCCGTAGGCGACGCCGGTCAAGCCGGAAACTGGTGCCTAAGAGCTGCGTTCTAAAAAGGAGGAGCTCAAAAACATTTTCAGTGCTCCTTTAGATAAGTGTAGAGGTTGTTTTATGCCGAAACATAAGAAAGAAAAAGCTAGAATCAAACTGAGGAAACTATGTGTACTGGAACCACAGCGTCCCAAAATTCTTAGGCTGGGTGACACAACTGACCGTCGAGTATAAACAATTGTTAGCATGGCACCGCGACTGGCGCCCCATGCGTGCAAGCACGTGCTGCATGCTCGTGAAGATAGCTTTGGCAGGCCTGCAATTGCACGTGCTTGCTCACACGAGGAGGAACATCGCGGCCACCAGACGTCCTGTTGATAATCGTATAAGGCTTACGTTTACATGAATGCGATCGTGGCGCATCGAATCGAGCAGGTATTAATCCCACGCAGCCTGTCTTCATGCCTCTTCCTTTTCTAACCATCTGCTACCAATCAAAATAGTCAAATCTCGCTTCCATGCGCTACGATCGCATCCATGCAAATGCAGCCGTAGAGTATACACTCCGTGCGACGCGACCGGCGCGCCGCCACTCGCGGCCGTTACCGAAGGTAGGTAGTGAAAACCCCAACGAAACGAGACCACACCGCATACAATGGTACGCATTGAAGTCGGAGCGGTGCTGTTGCGCTGGGTTGACAGCATGGACTGCTGCGTCGTTTAATTTTCCAGGGGCCGTTTGCACGAAGCTGGTTAACTAACCGCGGTTAACCGGATTTCCCTACGAGGGGGAATTTTGGGTCACGTGACCGGCAGAGTAAGGACGGCGGGGAAACATAGCGGTGCCCCGGTGAGTGAGCGCCGCTCGCTTGGGAACTATTACGTCGTGGTAGCTGCAGTAGCGGGCGCGTTAGTCAGCAATGAATGGTGCAGGAGGTTTTCGCGTTGCCTTACCTCACTTAAAACGCAAAACATGAGCAATGACCTCGCCGCATTTTTTAGATAGACTGCCGACTGGCCATTCCTAAGCCTAAATGAACGCGATAGTTGTCGGCATGGCAACGTCTTTGGAAAGTGGATGGCCTCGACTCAATCGGCCGGGTATTGATAGCACACAAAAGCAGAGAGCGTTTCTATAGAACTTTCGCTAAATTTGAAAAGCACCGAGGTGCATGCTACGAGTGTAGTTACACGCGCTGCTCCTGCTGGCGTCTGCAGTAATAACTGTTCTGAAGCAAAAAGCCTAAAACACATTTTGCCGTGCACGCGCGTTCGTCAAAGATTTATTATGATTATTTACTTCAAATCTTTTATAAGTGGAAGGCCAGCGCGCGCGGATGGTAGAATTACACTTCCAGCGTTTTTCTCGATGTTCGGGTAATTAACCAATAGGTCAATTTTCAATGGAGCCGAGTTACAGGTTTTTCAATTTATGACGGTGTTATATACAGTTCTTACATGCTGGCCAACCATGCTGCCGGTGTACCTAAAGCCCCTTGATAAAAGCGTTTTTTTACAAGTACCGCCAACCATTGTTGTGGAAGCGCGCGAGACACGTGCCATGAGCAGGTGCTCCGCCGCCATTCGCTTCCAAGGCCCGCTCATTTCAGTGCTGCGCCGCCATTTGCTTCCAAGGGCCGCTCGAGACGTGGGCCTCGTGCACTCGCGCATTTGACGCTACTTGCAAGACAAACGCAAACACATCGAGGGGCTCTAGGTGTACCGCCCGCCTTTCACTGCTCACTTCTTTTTCATCGTTTCTAGGACTAAACTTCGTCGTCCTCTTTTGAACTCGGAAGGAAATTTCTAACGAGGCTTTTCTTCACTTCATACAGCCAAATATTCAGAAGATTTCCAAACAAGGGTTAATTTAGTTTTACCTCGCCGATTATTTGTACCACGAGCAATGAAAATTGTTTCTTAAGCTCAAATGTCTGCCGCGCTGCGTCGCGAAAACAAGGCAGCGGGCATTTTTTGGGTCCCCCCATTTCGGGAACCTTTCCACGGAAGCCACGTA